AGTTTAGTTCATGTCCGCAAACATTTATTAAGCCCTAACCATGGCTCTGGCTCAACACTGGGCACCAAGAATGTAGAGACAGATAATACCATCCTTCCTGTAAGATACAGTCCATGGGAATACAGAGAGCATGGAGGGTGGCTGCGAAGGATGGAAAGAAACAGTGGGGGACAGTGCAGGCTGGGGTTGCAGCAGGCACGAGGCTGGAATAAATGGGAGATGGTTGTGTTAAATGCACTGGAACAAATGGAGAAGATCCAACAACTGAATTCAAATATCATAGTGAGCACTTGGTCCTTGCTAGGCTCTGGGCTAGGTGCTGTCCATGGATCAGGGGCCTCGAATAACTGATGCTCTGTTGGAGTCAGGGTAGGGGGTGTGGAGAGAAGGAAGGGTGGGTTAGTTAAATATCACAAAGATTAGTGGAGAAAACTGGGCATCCAAGAGAAGTAAGAAACAACGTTCTCCACAGGCACCTAAAGTGGTAAGATCCCTGTCTGGTTGGGGAACTGAGGAGGCTTCACAGAGGATGCCCATTTGAGGCAGGTCCTGAAGAAAGGAGAGAACATCATGGGCTGAGGGACAAGGCTGAGCAAATGCTCAGAGCAGGGAAGCCTAGTGTGGCTGGGGGAGGAGCAGAGGTCGAGCCAGCATGTACAGAGGCTTGGTGTAGTAGTAAAAAACGGGAGGTAGGCTGAGGCCGGATTGCTCAGTGTCGGAAGGCCAGCAGGAAGCATTTATATACTTATTTGGGGCAATGCTCTCAAGCAGCTGAACGTCTGTATTCACATCTGCTTCTCAAGGGCCTTCATCAGGGTAATGTAGTGTAGGATGGAGGGTGGGTGTGAGAAGGGAGCAGGGAGGCAGTAGGGAGGCTGCCAGGGTGGTCCAAGGGGGAGTCGAAGAGAGCCCCATGTGGCAACAGTTTGGTGGAAAGGCCAGGATGATGCAAAAGGTTTTGGGGGTGGGGCAGGTGGTGGAATAAAGGCTTGGAGGCTGACAAATGCAGAGGGTGGGCAAAGGAGGATGCATGGACAAATACAAGGTTCCCAGACTGGATAGCATAACAGCCAAAGTGCTGTAAGGCAAATAAATCATCGAGAGCTGATTCGGGGAGGTGGGGCAAGGCAGTGGCTTTATATAGGTGAACAGAGGGATCTAGGATCAAGCCTAGGAATTGAAATTTGAGAGTCATTCACCGAATCATCATTGTCATCAAATAGCTACCACTTACTGCACACTGATTATGTGACAAGTTCATATGAAATGATTCAATTCTCATAACAAGCTACAGAGTCTGCAGGATTAGCTTCATAACAGATAAGAAAACTGAGAGTTGGAGATGTTAGGAAACTTGTCCAAGGCCAACCAGCAGAGAAGAAGCAGATCTGGGGCTGATTATCTCCCCTAAGGCTTGTTCATCAGCCGATTAAAGTACAGTGAAGTTATGATAGTGGACAAGGTTCTCACACAAGAGGTGAGAAGATACTAGCCTGCAGGACAACTTAGAGTTGCCACAAAGGCTCTGCCAGAGATAGTTTCCCTCTTAATTAGTTATTAATTATCAGCTACTGGAGGCTGCTCTAATGACCTCCAATGTAAAAGTCATGGAAGATGTCCAGAAGTGCATGGGAAAATAATTCAAATGTCTCTGCAGAATGGAAGATGGCACTCATATGACTTGTAACTGGCATGCTTAGGGATTTTGAGGTCAGAATATAGGATGGAAGTGCTGTATGGAAGCAGGCAAACCAAGGTAGACTGGGTCATGAGAGCCGAGGTCCGAGTTTCAAGGTGATAAAAATATGAAGAGCTACAGAAAAGAGGGAGGAGGAAGGTTGAGGATGGACCCTCAGGTTTCATGAAGAAAGGTCTCTGGTTACCTTCATAAGAGTCATTTTAGAAAACCAGTGGGAGCAGAAGACTGATGCTGTGGGCTCAGGGCATATAAACTTGGATCAGCCATTCGCCATTTGCTCACGGAGTGAGGCAGAGGGTGTAGACTAGTGTTCCAAGAGGTTTGGTGGAAAACAGAAAGAAAGATATTGGGCTAGTGCCCCAGAGCTGGGGAGTTAAGAGGAGTTATGATTTAGCTTGGGGAGATCTGAGAGGGTCTGTAGGCAGGTGGAAAGGGGCCAGTGACACAGTGGAGTTTGGAAACACAAGTGAAATGCATCCGCTCCAGGAAAAGAAAGTTATGGGTTAGTTAGGGTGGTTTTTGAGAGTCACAAAGATAACTTTGCAATTAATTCTTTAATCCATTCAATAAATATTCCTTGAAGGCCTCCTGTGTGCTGGGCATTCTCCAAGCACTGGGGATAAAGCAGTAAACATGGCAAAGTCTCTGCCTTCGTGGGGCTTACAGTATAGTGGAAGATTTGATGAACCAGGTTCAAGATATTTAAAATCTTGTTTTCTTCTCTGCTTGGGTGACACTGGGGACATTGGCTAGTAGAAGTCTTCTAGGGTTAGTTCAGCCAGCCTTCTGCCTCCAGATAGGATGAAACTATGCCAGGGGGATGGACATCTTTACCATTCTGGAAACATTTCAGGCAATGGGATTTCATACCTTCCCTCTGTTGCCAATGGCATCTCATAACCTGAAGAGAATGCTTTTGGGTGTAAGGTTTCCCTTGAAATGTGAATAGGCCAGGTGGGAAAGAAATATGAATTCCTGCCTGGTGTCAGTTTCTCATGGGACTTGAGGAGGGATAAGAGTGTGACAGAAATTGACGGAAGGAGAAAGTTAAGTGGTCAGTTTCCCTCACTCTCTATAACTTCCCCCTTGGAGGGCTCTCCTGCCTAGTCAAGGCCAATCTCCATTCCAGACCTCAGGGAGCCTAGCAGGGTTCTGCAGGGAGACTGAGCTGAGCTCTCTCCCCTCTGACATGATTTCTGCAAAAGCAGTGATGAAATGCCTCTGTCAGAAATTTCTATGTTTCTCTGGAGATCCTGGGTACCTGATAAAACCCCATAGGCAGAATTCTGATGGTCCCCCAGATTCCTGATGCCCCTCTCTGAGATTCTTGCCCCCTGGTGTGCACATCCTATATTGTTCCCTTCCCTTGAGTGGGGATGGGACTAGGGCGTATAATAGGATATCACTCTGTCATTAGGTTACCATGCAGTTGACCTTGACCAAATCCAAAGGAAATCATTCTGGGTGGCCTGACCTAATCAGGTGAACCCTTTAAAAGGAGGTGAAGCCTCAGAGCCACTCCTCTGGTTGGCCCTGAATGGCCAAACTACTGTGTGGCCAGGAACAGCAGGCAGCTGTAAGTGAGAACTTCAGTCTTAGAATCTCAGGAAACTGAACTCTGCCAACAGCAATGAGCTTGAAAGAGGACCCTGAACCTTGTGTGAGACTGCAGTCCCAGCTGACATTTGATTTCTTCCAGGTGAGATCTCAAGCACAGAACCCAGATGAGCCATGCCCAGACTACTAACGTACAGAACTATGAAAAAATAAGTGGGTATTGTTTTAAGCTGCTGAGCTTGTGGTAATTTGTTATGCAGCTATAGCTAACTAATACACTTGGTGTGAGTTTTAAGAGTATCTTGAAAGCCCTTTAATATGAGGATCATGAAGACATTCTGCTTAAGGCCTTGTATCTCGTGACATGCAAACACTTCTGAGGGGAGTCATACAGGAGGCCTTATTGGCCACTCAAACCTCAATAAGCTGAAGTTTCCCAACTATCTTCCAAGAGGACAGCTGGATTTGGCAAGAGAGACAGCATAATGCCACTAGGTTTGGGGTTGGGAAGGGCCCTGAATGGCAAGACAGAAGAGCTGAAGGCAAGATTGAGGTCATCTTCTTTTACCTGGGATTATCCCTGGGGTTTGGGGTTGTATCTATGAGATTTTCTGGTCTAGAAGGGTGCCTCTGCTGGTCCAGCGGTGGGGGGCACCCACAGGGAAGGAGCCCAGGAAATTGTTGGCATTGTGAGAGGCAGTCACTCCAGCTGCCGTCCCTGGTGAGCCTCCTTCAACAGGAGGCAGGTTGAAGCATGGTACTGAGGGACAAAATTAGCCTTTCTATCTGTCCCATTCCATGACCCTGGGAAACATGGTGAAATATTATTGGTCGCTCATATCTCATCTAGTTAGCATCTACTATGTGCCAGCCCTAGGGCTGGTTGCTAGGAACACAGCGTTAATCAAACCCCAGTCCCAACCGTTATGATGATCCCAGGGTCAGGGATTTCCTCAATGCACAGATGTGAATGCTGAGGAAGAAAGCAGGTGAACAAGGTGTAGCAGCGAGTTGGGTTTTTTTTTAGCATTTCTTTTTAATTTTTAATTTTGTATTATTTTATTATTTTAAATGTACACACAAGTAGAAAGAATACTGTAGTAAACTCCCAGATAACTACGATTAACATTGTTTCATCTAACAGTTCCATTTTTTTGATGAAGTATTTTAATACAAATTCAAGATAACTTGTGTGTCACCCATAAGTGTTTCCATATGCATCTCTGATATGAGCATTTAAAAATGACTACCACAGGGGCTCGTGGGTGGCTCAGTCAGTTAAGCCTTTGACTTTGGCTCAGGTCATGATCTCACAGCTCATGACTTTGAGCCCCGCCTCAGGCTCTGTGCTGACAGCTCAGAGCCTGAAGGCAGCTTCGGCCTGTCTCCCTCTCTCTCTGCTTTCCCCATGTGTTCTCTCTCTCTCTCTCTCTCTCTCTCTCTCTCTCTCTCCCTCAAAAATAAATAAACATTTAAAAAAGTAAATAAAAAAAATAAGTAACCACCACAACAAGCAGAAGTAACACACCTGTCCCCTGCCCCCCGGGACATGGCCAATCCCTGGAAGCCAGTCCCACATCCTACCTCTCTAGGAATCTTGGCAAGTATCCATGACACGCTGGGAGTTCTCAGACTTGGCCCTTCCGTACCCGCCAGCTGTGCACTGCCGGGCCCCGCCAAAGCTTAGTCGGTGACTCCCAGTCCTAACTGCGCTCTTCCTCTCTGGTTCTTTTCGCAGATTGAAATGCTAGAACACAAGTACGGGGGCCACCTTGTGTCCCGGCGCGCCGCTTGCACCATCCAAACCGCCTTCCGCCAGTACCAGCTCAGCAAGAACTTTGAGAAGATCCGCAACTCCCTCCTGGAGAGCCGCCTGCCGCGGCGGATCTCCCTGCGCAAGGTGCGGGCGCCCACGGCCGAGAGCCTGGCGGCCGAGAAGGCGCTCATGGAGGGCTACGGCCTCATGGGGCTGCCGCTGGTGCGCTCGCCCTCCCTGCCGCCCACCTTCGCGGGCACGCTCACCGAGCTGGAGGACTCCTTCACCGAGCAGGTGCAGTCCCTGGCCAAGTCCATCGACGACGCCCTAAGCACCTGGAGCCTCAAGACCATGTGCTCCCTGCAAGAGAGCGGCGCTTACCAACTCCACCAGGCCCTGCACGCGGGCGCGGGGCCACCCGGCCTGGAGGCCGAGATGCGGGAGCTCAACAGCGCCCGCCCGGCGCCCGGGGAAGAGGCCGCCGAGGTCGCCGGCCTGCCCCAGGGCCACAGCAGCACCCTCATGATGGCTTTCCGGGACGTCACCGTGCAGATCGCCAACCAGAACATCTCTGTCTCCTCCGCCACGGCTCTGTCGGTGGCCAACTGCTTGGGCGCGCAGACCGCCCAGGCCCCGGCAGAGCCCGCGGCTGCGGGCAAAGCGGAGCAGGGCCAAGCCCCGGGGCAGGAGCCCCCCGAGGCCCCCACCGCGGGTCAGGGGGGTGCTCCCGCCGAGAACACGGGCGCAGAGGCCGGAGCCAGCGCCGCCTTGGGCGCGCACCCACCTGGGGCTGCCCAGGCCGTGGTGGAGGGGGCCGCGGTAGCGGTCTCGGAGGCAGAGGCAGAGGAGGAGGAGGCCGGGGAGGCGGGGAAGGAGACGGAGGCCGAGGCCGGCGACAACTCGGAGCAGCTGAGTAGCAGCAGCACGTCCACCAAGTCGGCCAAGTCGGGCTCGGAAGCATCAGCCTCAGCCTCCAAGGAGGCCCTGCAGGCCATGATCCTGAGCCTGCCGCGCTACCACTGCGAGAACCCCGCCAGCTGCAAGTCGCCCACGCTCTCCACAGACACGCTGCGCAAACGGCTCTATCGCATCGGCCTCAACCTTTTCAACATGTGAGTGAGCACCCGCCCTGGAGCTCAAGGGACTCCCGGGCCCCAAAGGAGAGGCGGGGGCGGGGGCCGGAGGGGGAGGACCTGTAAAGGTGAGCAGGGAGCCAAGTAATTGTCCTCATCATCCCAGTTCCCTCCCCCCCACGTGGCGTTTGTGCCCTGCCTGCTCCTTGAGACACTGTGTAGGAATACACGTTCTATTTTTCATTGTCACAAATGTATTTTAAGGATTAGGGACAAAACGACACATCGAGCCCCGTGCTTTCACCACTATTACTGCTTACGATGAAGCTAGGACTTGAAAAGCGAGAGAATTTAAAAGAAAATACAGTATTCAGTGAATAATAGTACTGGTCGTATGAGGATTGAGCAGAAATCATTCAGGTAGGACACGGAGTTAGGGAAACAGCATTATCTTCTGGGGAGGATGTCAAGGAGACAGGAGAGGATGGGCGAGGAGGCAGTGAGCAAAGGCCAGTGGGGTGGGAGAGGAGTGACCTAGAATAAGGAATACAGATTAAAGGCAGGAGAGGGACATGGATAAAAGGGGGAGACAAGGAAGCTGGGGTGAAGCAAACAGAGGGGGGACAGAAAGAGAACAGGAGAATGGAAGCAGAAAAATGGCATCCCCAGCCAGACACCCAGTCAAAACTGTCCTAGCAACTAGAATGTATGCAGCTGGTGGCAAGCACATGTCGCTACCATGGAAGCCTCGAGTATAGGTTCACTCATCTCCACCCTCCATTCACCCCTTCCTCAGAGCCTTGAGCCAGGAAATAGAACACCCCTTCCAGCCACACGGACGTGCATCTATTCACTCAGCTGTTATCTATTGAGTGCCATGACATGGCGACCACAAAGACGAGTAGGACGCATCCCCCGGTCTCAAGAAGCTTGAGGGGGGGAATAGCGCCCGTTCATGGCTCACCTTGCATAAGACATCTTGCTAACTTCTGAACAATATCTACAGGTAGCATTACTGTGCCATCTTATAGAAAAGAAACAGGCTCACACAGGTCAGGCGAGTTGCACATGGTGACGGTTACGTAGCCGGTGAGCTTCAGGCCGGTCTGGCTGCTGGTCCATCGTTCTTTCCTCCAAGTCAGGCTGCCCCCTGGTGAGCCCAGCCCCCACCCTCACACCTCCACAGCACGACTTCTGCGTGCACGCTCACACGCACACAGATACCGCGATCCCTCAAGATAGTGGTTCTCAAACTATCTGTGGTGAAGGACCAGTTTGGGTTTTTACCTGACATATTGTGGGCTGATACTTCTGTAAAATGCAATAAAAATGAACTGCTAGAAAAACAATCACATGCTTGGTTATCCTGAAAATGTCAAAGTGCTATAAAAGGTTCTAAATGCTTACCCTCGCTCTCCGTACTTGTCTTCTCCTGAACCAATAAGACACAGTTCAGGGAACAGCATGGATGTGCAGACCATACTGTGAGTACATTTGCTTGAAGACACGGCACCCACACCCACATGTAGAGACTGGAGCCTGAGAGCAGGCTGGTGGAGAGCAGGAGTCTATGGACACTATGGACAGTGTGGTAGGAGAGCTCACCTCAGTCCCCCAGTCTCACCGTCCTTCCAGATTCCAGGCTGGGAACTGAGTATAGACAACAGAATACAGACAGGGAGGAAGGGCAGGCCTCAGGGCCCTCAGGGAACACAGAAGAACACCTCTCCACCTGTTCCGGAATTCACTCATTTTGGCCAGACCTCCTCCAACCCCTTCCCTCCCCATGCTACCTTCACTCCTGGTGTGTGTGTGTGGTGGGTGGGGGGGAGGTGTGCAGGAAGGTGAGGCTGTGGAGAGAGGTGTTTTGGATCCAGAGCCCCTCTGCAGTGGAAGGAATCCTAGCATTTCATAGGAATTCTTCCCAGAAACCTCCAGGCACCTTTATGGGCTCCATGGGCTGGAAGAAAGTAGTCATGGATGGCCTTGGCTCACTCTCTACTCCTTCTTCCCACTTCTGCCCGCACCCCTAGAAACCCTGACAAAGGCATCCAGTTCCTGATCTCCCGAGGCTTCATCCCTGACACCCCCATTGGAGTGGCCCACTTCCTGCTCCAGCGCAAGGGCCTCAGCCGGCAGATGATCGGGGAGTTCCTGGGTAACAGCAAGAAGCAGTTCAACCGCGATGTGCTGGAGTGAGTGCCCCTCTCCCTGGC